CCCCACACTGATCCGTCACTCCAGACTGCTTCTGTACTGAGCTACACAGGCGAAGAAAACACAGCCTTGGTCCTGCCCAGGAGCTCGACTCTAAGAAGAACTGATTAACTCCAGGAACCTCCATGTCTGGACCTTCCCGGGAGCTGCGGCGAGGGTGGGGCAGACATGGATCCTCAAGCTGGGGACCTTGGGGACCACAGGGGCAACCCGTCGTGGGCAGGCAGGGACACCGAGGCCCTGGGAAGGACCCAGCCCTGCCTGGGGGCAGCCAAGCAGATGACAGCAGAAGCAGGGTATGACCCTGGCCTCCCTGCCATCTCAGCTGTGATTTTCACCAGCACAGAAGTCCCGCCCCAGCCCTGCTGCCCACAGTGAGCAGGCCCCCTGAGCAGAGCTCCCGGCAGCACCGGGGAAGTGAAAGGTCACCCAGGATCGACCCCAGCTGGGCAGATGCCGTCTCCCCAGGCAGCAGCAACTGCATCAGCAGGCGGTAGCTGGCAAGGCCTCACACCCCCTTCCCAGCACACTCCCCCCAAACACACAAGACGGAGATCACACAGAGGATGGGGAGAGGGCAAGGGCCTGAAGAACCCACAAGCCGCCTCCGCCCTGAGTCTTGGTGGCAGGTCAGCAGGGCCTTCTGCCCACAGGTACCCTCTGAGCAGGTGGGTGGAGAGTCCCTCCTGCAACAATGCTCCAAAGAGGGATTCTCAGCTGCCCTGAATTTCTCAGCCACTGGCATGAGGCAAGAGCTGGGTCTGAACTCCCTTTCAAGGGTATCCCTGTGATCTAAGGACCCAGACTCTCACAGAGCGGGTGCAGTTGGGGGATCGGTCTTCCTGAGCCCTCCACCCCACCCCTTCTTTACCTGTCTTCCCTATCGGCGCCTCCCTTTGTTCAGGGGCATCTGAGGAGAGGGGTCTCCAGAAGTCAGCAGTGCTAGCCAGGACAGTGCACACCCACCTCGGGAGCCACCAGGCCCTCCTGCTGCCCCTGCCCTCACCTCCAAGGAAAAGCTGGGATCACCCCATATCGCTGCTGCTCTGAGCCCACCTCATCAACTCACCAACCCTCAGATAGGCTCCGGGTAAAATCAAAAGCAGGCACAGCTCCCACAGAACAGCAGGAATTGAGAGGAAAAGGCCTGAGTGGGAGCCAAGGGTCCTGGGATCCAGGTCCAGCTGCACCACCCATTAGCCGTGTGGCGCTGGGCAAGTCCTCAGGACTCCACCTTCGTTTCTTCATCGGAGAACTGAAAAAGGTGGCAAAATGGGGACAAGCCTGGCACAGGACTTGGTACACGGTGGACCATCAACAGATGGCTCCTGAGTGTGGGCCTGTTATTCCCTGAGTGTGGATGCAATCCCTTTAGTACGGGGATGCGGCATGGTGGGTACAGAGTTGAGCAACCTGGGGTCTAGACCCGGCTCTATGACCACGTAGCGATGGGGAGTCCAACGCAAGTCATCTCTCTCCGGGCCTCAGTTTCTTCTTTAATAAAATTCAGGGACTGGACTGAGCTCTAAGGAACGGAAAACCTGTGACACCCCCATTGCTTACGCATTCCATAGGTGTGATAGACATGAGCAGTCGATCACAGCACTGCCGCCTACTGAATCTCCCAGATGCAGTTTCAGAATCCCCAAACGCCCAGTGCCTGCTGGGTGACCCTGAGCCTCAGTGTCCTCTTCTGTAAAATGGCCACACCCAGCAAGGTTGTGAGGATTAAATGAGACGATGTTTTCAAAATGGGCTGCCAGCAGTCCAGCACCAGCAGGATAATTTTCTGCCACCATTTCCAGAGACTGGGCAGGGAGCTCTTCTCCCAGGCCCATGGCCCTGCCCCCTGCAGACCCTCAGGCAACAGGGGACAGTGTGGTCCAGTGGAAAGAGCTTGGGCCTGGATGACCTCTGTCAAGTCGTTAAACCTTTCTGAGCCTCAGTTTCCCTTGAATAAAATGGGCTGACACTTATCTTACAAGATGGGTGTAAGGGTTAAATGAGGAAATCAGACAAAATGCCAGGAGAGCAATTGGCTCAGTAAATGGGAGCGAATGAACTACTCTGATCTACCCTCATCAGGCTCAGGGCCTTAGGGGTGGGAGCTCCTCAGGGTGGGGTGTGACTCTCTTAAGTCCTCAGTGAAGCCCAATGTCCCCCAATAATGGTGAAGCCGTGGCCCCACCAAAGTATGAATCCTTGGTCAAGGTGGGGCTAGGGGGTGGCCTCCCACCACCAGACCCTTGGGGCCTCACTGCTTCTCCCCCCGCTGTCCCCTCCCAGGCCTCACTGTGCCCTGGGGTCTGCACTGGCACCCACCTTATCCCCCGCCCCCTGCGGGCGCCCCTGCCCTCAGAACAAGGCCAGCCTGGTTCAGGCCGCAAAGGCTGCCCTCTCTGAGGTGGGACAGGAAGCCTGGTGGACTCAACCCCTAACCCAACTCACAGGGCGGCTTGAGGCCTCAGACACTTCTCTGGGAGCGGAGGAGACTGACGGGCATGACGTCCGCAGGCCTCCCAGCTCTGACGCCGGGGCCTGCGTCTTTAGTGTGGGAGGCCTGAAGCGGAGCAGCTCCATTCGAGAGCCCCTCACCGAAGGCAGCAGCTTAAACATTGCGCAGAGTGACGTCCTTCCCTCCCTCCCGTGCTCCTCTCACCCCATGTGGGTGGTGCCCGACCACCTCCACGGCCTCCAGCTGCTGCCCCTGACCACCCAGCAAGGCTTCAAACTGTTACAAATTCACCAAATACAGCATCCTTTGCATGTGCTGTTCCCCTGCCAGAAACACCTTCCTATCTTCCCTCTTGGTGCACTCCTGCTCTTCCCCCAAGACCCAGCCCAGAGGCCACCTCCTCCAGGAAGACCTCCCTTCCCAGGCATCCAGTCTCTGGCCACTCGCACCCCACTGACTTGTAATGATGAATAAGGGATGCTGATGAAAAAAGCAGGCAGGCAGGTGGGTGGGCACCAGCCAGCCACACCTGGAGGAGGAGAGAGCACCAGCCCTGGGAGGGAGCCCATGCGCAGTCTGCTATGCAAGTAGCTGACGAGTAACTATTCCGGGCAGCCCTTGGGCAACGAGGACACAGCTTGCTTATTACAAAATATCTTTTATTGATAAAATAGCTCAGACTTTTGAAAAATACCTGCATATCACGACAAGGGGGCCAGAGGCAACAATAGCAGGAGTCCCATGGGGCACATGTGAGACCAGTCAGCAGATGTGATAAGTCAGCCCCGCCCCTAGGCCCAGCCTCCCCAGCCTGGCCCCAGGCAAGTCCCCACCCTCACACCGAGATGGAGGAATGAGCTGGACTGCCCCTTCCTCAGGAGGGACCCTCTTTGGTCCCCTCCATTGACTCCACCCCAGAAAACTCTCTTAGCACCCCTCCAAATCTGGCCAGGTCCATCAGAGCACCAACAGTGCCTGTGCCGCTCAGCCCACCCCCAAGCTAAGATGCCCACTGGCTTAATGCTTCAGTGAGGCACTCCCATGGAGATGGGGAAACATCCTTCATATGCTCCCAATTGTTCTGGGTGCCAGGATCTGGGGTACGAGAGAGTACCAGGAGGGAGAAGCCCCCGGAGCCCATCGGTAGGGTGGAACAACATGGCTGGGCAACTGGCACCCACCAGGGTGGGATCAGTCATGCATCACAAGGACCCATCTGGGATTTGGAGACCCACCAGGGTGCTCCGGTGGGAGGCTCCCCCAGGAAGCCACAGGGCCCTTGCTCACCTGCTCCAGCCCCAGCACCCTACCTGGGGCTCTGTCACCTGCCACAGGCTCTCATCTCAGACTGTTCTCAGGGTGTAGGTATTTTTAGCTATCTTGGGGAAACAATTTGCCTGCTTGATGACAAAAGACATCCCCCACTGGGGGGCCCAAGCTACTGAAAACCCTCTTGGTGTTGCAGGTGAAATGTCAAGAAATTGTCATGCAGCATAATAACTCAAACCTTTACAGGCACAAGAACACATTCTCAAAGAAATCCGTTAACTGAAATAGTGGTTCTGTCTGCCACTCCCCACTTCCAGTTTGGGGTAGGAATTCACACACCCCAGGCACAGAACAAAAGTCTACAGGAAGAGAGGTGGTGGTAAACACAGAGAAAGGGGATTTTTATATCACCAAATAATCACATTTTCTGGTTCTCTAGTGCATTCCCCCATGGAGCCCAAAGCTTTCTGCAAAGACTTTCATCTCCCCGCGGCAAGTAGGCGGCAAGCTATTGTCGCCCCGGTTTTCGCAGGGGGTGAATGCCAGCGATCAGGGATCTCCTGTGGAGGCAGAGGCCAGGCCTCCAGACCACCCCACTGAGGCACCTACGTGCCCATCCGCTTCCCAGAGGGGCGCCAGGTGAGGAAAACGATCCACAGCTCTGGCCTCTAACAGAGCTACAGATCCAAAAGCAAGAGGAAGGGGACAGAAGGGCCCAGAGACAGTTCCAGCCCATAAATCCCCACCCAGCGCCTGACGAGGACCATGGGTGCCCAACGTGGATGCACAGTCGTCATTTCTGCCTCCTCCTCAGCAGCAGGCCCTCCTGGGAAAAGTGGAAGTCTGGCTTCCTGCTCAACATGGGGAAGATGAGAAAGAAACAAAAACACCACAAGCAAGCAACCTGCCAAGAACACAGGGTCCTTGAGGAAGGGAAGCCCATCCATCGGCTTGCCGAGGTCTGGGGTTCCGGGAGAGAGGTGCTCTATCCTAGCCTGGCCTCGGCTATATTCAGGAAGGCCTAAGCCTTATCCATCTGCCCGTGCTCAGGCAAGGGGTGGAGAAGACATTGCCCCACAGCTGAGCCAGCAAAGGGAGGCTTCAAATGGACCCCTGTGAACAGCATCCCTGCCCCTGCCCATCTTAGTGGGCTCCCACGATGAGGCCTGTAGGACCTGAGCAGGGACCAGAAAGCCACAGGAAGGTGGCCACATAACACATGGCAAGAAGCAGGGCAGCCCTGGTGCCACTTGGCACCAACCCCTCATGGGCAGGCGGCTCACCATGCCGTCTGGGTCCACTGGCGGCAAAGGATCCTTCGGAAGGCACGGCGAAAGTCCTGGTTGAAGATGGTGTAGATGACGGGGTTCAGCGAGCTGTTGCAGTAGCCGATCCAGAAAAAGAACTGGAAGAGGCCGTGGGGCACCTTGCAGTGCTGGGGGCAGATGGCACCCAGGCTGTAGCTGAAGAAGAAGGGGAACCAGCAGAGCACGAAGACGCCAATGACCACGGCCAGCACGAAGGTGAACCGCTTCTCCCGAGTCAGCTGTGCCCGCCGCCGCCACCACTGCGCACCTGCAGTGGCCACACCCCTGCCCAGGAGCACCTGGCCACGTAGGGTCGCCAGCACCCGGGAGCCCTGTGGCTGCTGCAGGGGTGGGCTGCAAGCTGAGGCAGGAGATGCTGGCAACGCCTGAGGCTCACACTCTTCCTCCCCCTCCTCCTCCTCCTCCTCCTCTTCCTCCTCCTCTTCAGCTTCCTCCTCCAGAGATGCCCCACAAACTCCTTCCTTCTGATCCTGGCCTGAACTAGGAAGGGCAGGCCAGCTGGGGGGCAAGGCAGGGGTCCCAGAATCTTCAGGGGTCTCTGCCTCCTTCTCCCCAGTGGGCTCGGAGTGTCCATTGGCCTCTCCGGCAGCAGCCAGACAAGAGGCCACAGTGGGCAGTTTGGCTGAGGCTGAAGCTCCTGCAGGGACTGGGTGGGGCTGCTTAGACCCACCTCCCCCAGGGCCTCCCTTGGCCCTGGGACCTCTGAGGTGGCTGCGTTTAGCAATCAGGTAGATGCGCAGGTAGACAAGGATCATGATGAGGCAGGGTGCAAAGAAGGATCCGATGCTGGAGGCCAGGATATACCAGGCCTCTTGGTTGAGCTTGCACTGCGGCCGCCCGCGCGGCTGGGGGCCCTGGTCCCCCTTGTAGATAAGGGGCGGCAGCGAGATGACAGCTGCGATGAGCCACACGGTGAGGATGATGCACTTGATGCGGCGCGGGGTGCGCTTGGTGTTGTACTCCAGCGCGCGCGTCACGGCCCAGTAGCGGTCCAGGCTGATGGCGCACAGGTGCACGATGGAAGACGTACAGAAGAGCACGTCGAGCGCCAGGTACACCTCACACCACGTGCGCCGGAAGTACCAGTAGCCCAGCAGCTCATTGGCCAACGAGAAAGGGATGATGAGCGTGGCCACCAGGATGTCGGCAGCGGCCAGCGACACCAGGAACAGGTTCTGCGGGGCGCGCAGCGAGCGGCTCGTCAACACAGCCAGGATGACCAGCGCGTTGCCAAAGATGGTGAAGAGGATGAGGAAGGTGATGACCGCCGCAATGGCTGCAGTGGCCTGCACGGAGTAGGGCTCCTGGTGGTCCATGGCGGGATCGGACGCGGCCAGAAGGGGCGCTGCTCGCCCAGCGCGTGCACAGCCCGCGACAGCCCTGTCCCACCCAGCTCGGCTAGACAAGGGGGTCACCCCCCTGGCGGCGCTGAAGGCGCTGGAGCCCCATGGCCAGGCCGAAAGGCGGTTAGAAGGTTGGGGGACGCCCGGGGCCAGCCGCTGCCCTCCTACATCCTGTTCCACCAGAGCCCGGCGTCCCTGCAGTCCGCCCCAGAGAAGTTTTCCAAGTTGTCCCGCTGCCGTCTCCGCCCAGCCCAGGACGGGGGGAAAGTTGCGCCCTCCCGCAACGAGGCTGCTGGACGTACGCTGGGGCGCAGGGCCCGGCGGGCCGGGCGGGGGCCGCGCCGCCGGCTGTCGGAGGAGGCGCGGAGGCCGAGGAGCCCGCTCGCTTGCTCGCTCGAGCCTGGAGCCGCGCCTGCAGGCAGCCCGCCGCGGCAGGGGAGTCGAGAGGAGAGCGAGCGCGGCTGGAGGAGGGAGGAGACTGGAGGCGGGAGCAGGAGGTGGGGAGGGAGGCGGGGCGGGGGGGGAGGGCGAGCGGACTAAGGGTGGGTGGAAGGTGCTCCTCACCGGAGGACGGGCGGGCAGCAACCTCCCCGCGCCCCCGGCTGCCGCCCTGACGCCCCAACCCCTTTGCCTCGCGCCTCCGCGCTGCAGGAGGTCACAGGGGCCCGGCGTGCTGGGTCTTTGGGACTCTGGGAAGGATGCTTGCAGAACTGGAAGGGTCGGTGCACGCGGGGAGCTGAGACGCGGCGCTGGCGCGTCAGCGGGCACCAAGGCGGGATCTTTTTCCTGCGGACTTAGGGGCTGAGTCCGAGCACCCGGGGCTAGGATGGTGGGCGCGAGCCGATCTCTCCTCCCACTGCCCAAAAGCCCCAAGGAGAGGGTGGGCGTCCGGGGGCGCCGGAGCGTAATAAACCATACACCACCTACCCGGCGCCGGAGGAGGAAGAAGCCGAGCGGAGGGGGTGGGGGAAGCGGGGAGACCGCCCCTAACCCCTTCCTCAAATGCTTTCCCGCCCCGACTAGATTCCGTCGGGCCTGCGGAGCCCCAGGAGGCGCGCGAGGCCAGGTTTGCGAGCGCCCCCTGCCGCCGCCCAGATGGCCTGCGGCTGGCCGGGAGACCCGCGTGCCCGCCGCCTCTTGCGGGCACCAAAAAGATTCCCAAGCCCGGTGGGGCAAGCGAGCGCTCAGCGATTTATGACTTCAGCTTTCCTGTTCTCCTGCAGCTGCCTCAGTTTCCTCCATTAAAGGCAAAGGTAAGAGGAAAACCGGCTTGGACTCAAATCTCAGCGACAACGGAGTCTCAGGCAAGGTTTTGTTGGGGGTGGACGACGCTTGGCAAACTTCGACCTCTTGACCAATAGGAAGAGGATGTCCTTGGCGCAGAGCAAGGGGAATTGTGGGGGCCAAGGGTGGGGTCTTTTTGATACAGCTCAGAGAAAGAGTAGGTCTCAGGGACAGCTATGAAGGGAGAAGCTTCCCTGTGCCTGTCTAGTGACCCCGAATCCCTGCGCTAGTCGTGCTGACTCTTCCACATTCACACTGCACACCCCTCTTGGAGTGGCGGCGCAAAGAGGAGTTGGGGAAAGAAGGAATTTCTGATTAAGCAACCCCCGCCCCACCCCCATCTGGCCTCAAAGAGCTATGGAGCAAGGCTCTCCCTCGGGCACCCTTGCCCTACCCACTCTCCCTGTGGCCACTGCCACCAGTGCCAGCCCGGGCAACCTCAAGGGTGCGTTTTTCCTCAGCTCCCAGAGTTCCTAGTGCTATAACCCGAGCCTATAGCCAGGCCTCATGTTTCTAGCCCACAGCTCTGCGTGGCATCCACTGTATAAATAGACATCAATCCACCTGTGACAGTAGGGCTCCTCCAAGCATGCCCACTGGACCTTCAGTCCTGCCCGCTCCATCTTTATGGGACTAGGGAGGGTGAGCTCTCTGTGCCCACAATGTCTCACCCCTACCCAGGCTCAGATGGTGGTACCCCAGACGACCCCCCAGCCATGTGGCCCGGGAGTAGGGGGTCCTCCTTGATCCCAGGCTGTCCCTGCCTCCTGCCAGCCTACCCAGCTCCTCTGTTAGGTGCGAGTGCCCACAGCCTGATGGGGTGGGTGCTGTCTAGGTCAGATTCGGAGACAGCAGCCAGCCTCTCTTGCCCCCTCCAGAGTCAGGTTTTATGGATGCATCCTTCCCACTCCCTGAGCTGGGCCGGGCTGGGCTGGGCAGGGCCTGGGTCCGCAGTTGCCAAGGATGGAGAGGTCTCAGTAGCCCCTTCCCTGAGGAAGATCAGAGGGGTGGCCACCGGAGCCCAGGAACCAGCCACTTAAGCAACTACCTGCCCGTCCCCGTGACTCCCTGTCCCAGGGGCCTCAGAGTCTGAGCGCCCTGGCAGCCCGAACGGGCACTGGGAAGGCCCACGGTTTCACCCTCTCCAACCAAACTCAGGCTGGGGGACCAGCGGGGATCTCCCCAGACACTGCAGGCAGCATTGGCCTTTTGTCTCCTGGCCTGGTTTCCTTAAAAGGGAAACTTAAAAGGAAGTCCAGGCCTCTAGGACTCTGCAGGAACCGAGGCCAGGGCTGCTCATACTCCCTCCCTGCCCCATCCCCCCAACCTTGTGAGTCCCCGCTGGGGGATTCTCACCCGGGCCTTCCTCGAAGGGGCAGATCTGGGTCCACCCAGTGCCAGGCCCTGCTGGGCACCAGTCCCGGTGGGGACAACCAGGGAGAATCTACAGGCACTCCTGAGCCACTGCCCAGGCTCTGTTGCCTCTGTCGCCTCCCAGCCCCCCCCCCCCCCACAGACATGCCTCTGGCCCTCGGGGCAGTGGGGCCGTTACATAACTCAATTCCCACTCCTCTCTGCAGCTCTCCGTTGCTGTCACACACACCTTCCGGAGCTGCCTGCTCCACGCAGCCCTGCATGGATCAGAGCCATGGCCACAGCAGGGCTTCTTCAGCTCTTCCCCGACGAGATCTCAGCTTCCGTTGTCATCCTGTCCACCACCGCTGGCAGAGTTCAGTCCCAGACCCACAACCAGCCAGCAGCAGGAGCTGCCCGGATCCTTCCCAGCCACGGGTGGGGGAGGGGTGGACGGGACAGGCCCTGACCCGCCTTCCCGGCCCCACCAGGCTAATATTGGTCCCTAGACAGGCCCTGAGCTCCCACATGTCCCCCAGCCCTTTCCAGGGGCAGTGTGCTCTGCCAGAAACCCCCTCCTGACCGTTCCTTCTGTGCTTGGTGGGCCCCTGCTCTCTTTCAAGGTCCACTCACCTGCCACCACCACTCTCAGGCAGAGGGAGGTGCTCTGTTCTCCAGGGTCCCTGACTCCGTGCGCACAGCACCACTTTCACGCTGGGAGCACTGTACTAAGACGGCGTCCGAGGGGTTTCCGCCAGAGCAGACATCCCTTCTCTCTCCCCAACACCTGGCCAAGATTGTTGAATGGTGAGGGGTAGTGGCAGCAGGTAGTAGTGGATGACAGCCGTGAGCCTTTCTCAGACAGGTAGTGCCCGAATGAAGGCACCCCTGAAGGATGTCCTTGGAAAGAGGGGCCATGGGGGAAAGGTGACCTAGTAGCATCTTTTTCAAAGGAAGGGGAGACAGTTGTCCCGTCCCTGGCTGTGAGAGCACAGCAAGAGATGTGCCACCTCAGTTGAAAGCCCTGGAACCACTTCTGCAGAGCTGAGGGCTGAGACTGGCCCCAGGTCCTCCTGGACCAGGGCTGCAGAGGCTCCTGGCGCTGCCCTCCCGCCCCAGAGGGCCCACCGGGGTGCTCCTCACCTGGCGCCACACCCAGGCTTTCCCCTGAAGCCCCAGCCATTCAAGTCCCTGGGACCCTTGTCCCCAGGCCACCCCATATGACCCCACCTCCCCAGACCCCTGAGCCGTGCCCTCTACAACATAAGTCGGTCGTCCTCTCCCCCTCCTGGTCAAAACCCCAACCCTGGTCAAACCTAAATCATCCACCTGCCTTTGACAGGCGGCTGCTTTTTCCGGAGCAGAGCACTGTCTGCATCGACTGGCCGCACTTTAAATTCATGACCACAAAGCTCCATACGTCCCTAGCGGCTCCTTCCCACTCCAGGATCCGAACCCCTCACATTCTCCCCCGCCCCACCTATGACTTTACCTACACAGGAGAAAATGGAGGCCGACTGGAGGAACTCAGCCCCCACACACCTGCACCTGAGCTCCGACTCCGCTCGCTCGTAGCCAAGCCCTCCAGTGGGCCCCAGACCCTCTCACATCCCCCGGGACTCTGCTCCCTCTGTTATCCCCTCCCTGGCTGTCACTCCTCCACCACACAGGCCAGCCCGCTCTTAAGAAGCCCTCTATGGTTGTTGTCTCCCCTCCCCCACCACCACCGCCGCCACCCCACCCCACCACTGCAGCTGCCATCTCCTCCACCGTTTGCCTCAGCAGCCCTCGCTGGGCCGTCTGGTGGGTCACTCATGACTCCACATCTCCAAGTGCCAGGCTCATTTCTGTGTCCTCCTGACTCAGTTTCTCAGCAACACTTATCCAGTGGACAGCTCCCTTCCCTTGGAACACGCTGCAGTCCTGCCCCCTCCTCGCTGCCACTCCTTTTCAGCACCTTTTCTTCTCCCAAACTCGGAATCGGTGATCCCCAGAGTGGTTTTTGCCCCCTCCCTCCAAGGAACATTTGGCAATATCTGGAGACATTTTTGACTGTCACAGCAGGAGGAAGGGGGGTGCTACTGGCATCTAGTAGGTAGTGGCCAGTGATGCTGTTAGGGGTCTTAGGATGAACAGGACAGCCCCCCACAACAAAGGATTATGGGCACAACGCACTAAGAGAGCTGAGATTGAGAAACCCCGCTCTAAGGGATGCTGCACCCGGTTCAGTCCTGGGATCCCCTTTCTGCTGCACCTGAGCTCCTCTTGGGTAATTTCATCCAGCCCCATGGCTCCCACCTGGATGCTGATGCTCCCCAAATACATCTGCCCTGAGCTCCAGGCTCATGCAGCCCACACACTCCCCGACCCTCCCGTTCCATGGCTGGCAGCCTCAGACTTAACATACCCATTTCCCCTGAACCATGCCTGTCCCCTTGGTTCTCAGCGCTCCATCCAGTCACAAGTGCAGATGCCTCAACCTCCAAAACATACAAAAGCACCCACTTCTTCCTATTCCTACTACCCCCATCGCTCTCACTTGCACAACTTTACTGGCTTCCAACTGTGCTCCCTGCTTTCAACCCATTTTCCACAGAGCATCCAGAATGACTTTTAAAATCTTAAATCAGATCTTGTCACTCCCCTCCTTAGAACCCTGTTGCTCTTAGAATAAAACCACCCCCGCCGACCGACCTGGTCCTGCCTGCCTCCTCCCCTCTTCATCCCTCCACATCTTGCTTCTTCCTGCCTCAGGGCCTTTGCACTGGCTGCTTATTCCCCCACCCCCCCCCAGATTTTTCCAGGGTAGCCTCCTCCAGTCATTCAGGTTTCAGTTGAAATGCCAACAACCTAAATGAAGGCTCCCCTCCCCCACTACTTATCAATCCCAGGTACTTTCTTATTGGCCTGTTTACTGCCCCCATCCCCACCCCTCAATAAACTCTACGAGGATAGAAACCCTGCCTTGCTCATCATGTTATTCCCACTGCCTGTAACAGAGCCAGCCTGGCACCTAATTCCACAGATGTCTGTTGAATGAGTGAATAAGTTGATGAGTGAGCCCACATAGCTATGTGGTTGGGAATTGGGGAACAGGCCACAGACCTTGGGGGTGGCTAGCCACCAGGGCTCTGGTCAATAGCCCAGGGCCCCGTACATATCACACCCCCCATGCTGGGGTTCCAGGGGCTGAACCACCAGAGTCAGAGTGGGGCTTGTGGAACCAGCCAAGAGCTCTCTGGCAATTCCGAGACCAAAAGCCACATCCTAACAGAGGACTGTGATGGCAGCCTCTGAAAGCTGGGAGGGCCTCATGGCACACACAGACATCACCTTCTCTGACCCAGTGTGGCCAGCGGGGAAACCCCAGCCCATTGCCGGAGGCCTGGCTCGCCGACTCAGAGACTGACAGGTCGTGAGGCAGTCACTCATTTGTCCAAGAGGCAGGGCTACTACAAGTGCATTCTCTGTCTCAGGGTTGGCCCAAAGCCTGTGCCTCGGCATCTCCCAGGGGAGCTGTCACTCTGCTAGGAGCACGGCCAGGGCGCCTGCCCACCCACTCCACCCTCACCCTCCTCCCATGTCTGGGGACAAGGCACAGTGTCCCCCTCCCACTGTGATCTTCCCTGATGCTAACACCCAAGACCCTGCCCCTGAGTGGTCTCAGAAAATCCTTGACTTGAGACCGAAACCCCAGGCAGACTGAGGGCAGAGGCTCCAGCGTTGGTGGGCGTGCCCTCCTCTCCCCTGACATCACCAAGGGGTTGGCAAGGCCACGCCTCAGCCCTGCGCTGCTGCTCCGAGCCGCGCTGTGCAGACTCTGCTTCACCGAGCCCGTTTCCTCCTCTGGAAAATGGGTATAAGCACCTGGGGCCCCTCCCAGCGCCGGCAGGAGGGTTAAAGGCACTCATGTGTGAGAGAGTCAGCCCAGCACGGCACCCGACTCCTGGAGCAAGCACCCAACTTTATTTCTGCCTTCCCCCAAAACTGTCTGAGGCGCCTGGCCCCTGGGACACGCACAGGCTCCCGCTCCCTCCCACCCCAAGCTGGGCTTCCTTGGGCTTCTGACAGCCACGCAAACAGCACCACTGGGTCTCCTGGCTGCTCACTGGCACCCCTGGAAGAGGTCCCACCAGGGAGCCAGGAGCTGAGGAAGAGGAGGAGTGGGGTTTTGCTGAAGGAAGACAAGCAGGGTGCGCCCTCCAGCCTCTTTCCACCTTCCAGGGCCTCCCCTGGACAAACCCCGGGGCGGGGGCTCCTGGAAACAGCAATTCCAGGTGGAGAGGAGCTTGGAGTCCAGTGTTCAGAGTCCGGCATTCTTGCTGAGTGACGCTATGCAGTCTTGGCAGGGTGGTAGCTCCCCTAGGTGGCATCCCTGGGGCGGGAGCCATCCGGTGCTGCAGGGGAGGGCGTCGGCTTTGAAAACCTCCTGAAGAGCAGGGCTGGAGCCCACAGCTGCAGGGCACCATTCCCGGCCCTCAGACTTCAGGACAGGAGGCCGCTCCCAGGGCCCCAGCCACAGGGCTCCCAATGCCCACCCATGGGAGAGGTGGGGGCAGCGCCTTTAGTCCATGCCGGGGGACTGGGCCTCAGCTACAGGAGGGCTCGCAGGGACCTTCAGGGCTGGAACCTGCCTCTGCCCCACACCTCTAGACCCCCATCCCTCGAGTCCTGGAGGACATCACCACCGCCCATTCCCAGTATCCTCCAGGGCTGAGGCAGAAGTCAAGAGTGGGCAGAGCCGGGCATCCCCCACAGGCCTGCCTTCCCCTGACAGACCTCAAGGGATCCTCTGTCCCCAGGAACCCTTGGGAGAAATGATGGGGAAGGAGGGGGCAGAGGGAGAGGCCTGGGCCTCAGACAAGGTGGCTAGATTGGGGCTAGAACACAGGGCTGCTGCCCAGAGGGGTCAAGGGTTGTGCTAGCCGGCTCCTCCGGGCAGAGGATGCCCTCCCCACTCAGGGATAGAAGCCACAGGCTCGACCTCTGGGGGTCCCCCTGATGTGACTTCCAGGTACTCTGGCTCCTGGCTGAGCTGGGTTTCCCCAAAGCAGCCTGGATAGGTGCTGGCTGGTCTTCTGCTTCTAGAGATGGGGCTGGGGGTACAGTGGGTACTTGGCCCTGCCAGGACCGCTCCGGAGCAATACCAGGAGCACCTGCTCCAGGCCTTGACCTTGGGGAGGAAGCTGGGGTCTGAGGTGGTCTTGCAGAGGCCTCCACACCGAAATTCCTCAGGGCAGGGGGCTCCAGCCCATGTAGGCTCTCTCCAGGCCCTGCAGCGACACGCTGTCCTCCAGCCCTGGAGCCACTGGATTCTGCCAACAATGCCTTCAGAAACCTCTGCAGGTGTGGTCTCGAGGCAGGAGTGGGGCTCCTGCCACTGCTGTGGGCCTGGAACCCTGGAGCAGGAAAGAGAGGAGGTCATGTCCCACAATCACAGAAGGAAAGTGTGTGGCCCAGCTGGGGAGAGCCAGAGCTGTCGTCAGCTTTGTTCATAGTGACATAAGACTCAGCTCATGGGCTATGATAACCCACCATGCCCCTGCTAAGCCACTGCCCAGTACCTTCAAGACCCAAATTCCCAACGCCGACTTAGAGACAAGGACCCCAGAGCCCTCCCATTCCCTCCCCGCTTGGCCCCAGAGGTCACCACCAGAAGGGCAGGCCGCTGGGATCTTCTGTGACCTCCCACCCATGCCCCAGGCTGCTCTGATGGTCACCCCCCATCTAGCACTGCAGCCCTCCCCATCCAAACCCCGTTGCTGGCCACTCTGTGCACAGCAACACCCCACCTCTCACCCTGTTTTCAAAGCCTCCTCAAGAGCTTTCCCTGCACTTGCAGCTCCGTCCAAACCCAGGGCCATCAGGAGGACGTGGCTGAGGGCTCTCAGGCCCAGGCCCTTGGTGGGGCAGGTCCTGCTCTGCTCTTCACTGATGCTCCCAGACCATGGCTATACCCGCTACTCTGTAAAACCCATCTTCATTTTTGGCCCCAGTTATCTGGCCAGACTGCCCGCCCACCCACTGCCGCCACCCCTCCCTGTCGCTCCCGCCCATGCACTGAAGCCTTTGTGACGAGCCCAGCCTTCCATCCTCCCACACTGACCAATCTGAGTTGAGGTGCTACATGCTGACCGGTGACTCTTCTCCTTCCCATTGACCTCACGGCCCACTCACTCCTCAGACCTGGTCAGAACCAGAAACCACCTCTGCTGATGTCTCAGTTCCTGCAGCCCACCCCCTGCCTGCGGCCTCCTCTGCTTCCTGCTCACCCGCCTTCAGTATCACGATTCTTCAGCCCCGCTGAGCCACAGACTCCAATGTCTTCTTGCTCCAACCTCCTCACTTCCAGACCACTCTCCTCACCTGGCTTGGGCTCCACGGCCTTCATTACAATCACTCCTTTGGAGACATCCTCAAGCACCTCCCCCTCTGTCAGACTTGCCCACAAAACCCCAGTCCCGGAGGACCAAGTCGCCAACCTACACCATGCCCCCACCAGGGCAGCCAGCCGCCCCAGCACCACCCAAAGCCCTGCCATGTGTCTCTACCAGGTTCCCCTTCCTGCTCTCCAGTCAGCGGCTTCACCTCTTCTCCTTGACCTCTTGGCTGGCAACCTCACCTCACTCTTTATGCAATCAAAACCCTTGGACAGAAGCCCCTTCATCTGCACAGCCCAAGATTCTCATGCAAACTAGGGTCTATCTTCCTTCCCGTTAGGTCCAAGGAAGCTCCTGAGCTCCTACCAAGGGCAGCTCCTCCCCAAATGTTCTCGATATTCTTCCTTCTGCCTCCTGAATCCACCCTCTCTCCTTCTCCACTGGGTCATTTCAGCATGTAAACACGCTCCCATGTCTGCCATCTTGATAAACCTTCTCTTGACCCACAGTCCCGTCCAGCCACCTCCCAATTCTGTTCCTCATGATAGTAAAACCTCTAGGACAGTTACCCACAAAGCTCTTGCCATATTATCTCCTATTCTTTTTAACTAAAAAGAAGGTATGTAATATTTGATATTATGGGAAAGAATAGTCTAAGAAATGGTGCTGGAACAACTGGATAGTCACATGCAAAAGACAGGATCATGACCTTGGGTTAGGCAAAGCCTTCTGAGATATGACACCAGAAGCACAGTGATAAAAGAAAAAGTAGCTAAGTTGGACATCACCAAAGTTAAGAATGTTTATATTCAAAGGACACCATCAAGAAAGTATAAAAACAACCTATGAAATGTGAGAAAATATTTCCAAGTCATATATCTGATAAGGGACATGTATCTAGAATATATAAAGAACTCCTACAACTCAGCTATAAAAAGACAGCCCAACTGAAAAATGGGCAAAGGATTTGAAGAAACACTTCTCCAAAGAAGATACATAAATGGCCAATAAGCACATGAGAAGGTGCTCAACATCTTTAGTCATCAGGGAAATGCAAATCGAAACTACAATGAGATACCACTTCACACCCACTAGGATGGTTATAATCAAAAGAATAGATAATAACAAGCGTTGGCAAGGGCGTGGAGAAATTGGAACCTTCTTCATACATTGCTGGTGGGAATGAAAAATGGTGCACCCAATCTGGAAAACAATTTAGCAGTTAAATACGGAGTCACTAGAGGAGCCAGCAATTCCACTCCTAAGTATATACCCAAAGGAAAAGAAAACATGTGCTCACAAAATCTCATACACCAATGTTCATAGTAGCATTAGTCACAATAGCTAAGAAGTAGAAACAACCCAAATATCCTTCAACTGATCAATGGATAAACAAATTGTAATATATCCATACAATGGAATGTCATTCAACAATGAAAAAGAATGAAGTACTGACACATGCTACAACGTGGATGAACCTTCAACACGTCATGCTAAGAAGACAGACACAAAGGGTCTCATATCGTATGATTCCATTTATAGGAAATGTCCAGAGCAGGCAAAGCTATAGAGACAGAGCGTAGATTAGTGATTGCCCACGGCTGGGTTGCGGGCACTCACACACAAGATGACCCTAGGAGTAGGATCTGGGGCATGGGGTGTGCGCACTTCAACTTGACAAGATGGCAAATTGTTTTCCAAAGTGGTTGCAGCAATTCACACTCCTGTCAGCTGGGTACAAATATCATTGTGGTCCATATTCTTATTGGTATTTGGTATTATTGGACTTTTAAATTTCTGCCAATTTAGGGGGTATAAATGGTATTGTGGCCTTCATTTGCATTTCCTCCATTACTAATGTTTATTTTCCATTTCTTCTGTGAGATACTTGTTAAATCTCTTGCCCATTTTTCTACTTTGTGGAAGTAACATGTAGAAGCTTTTTTATATATTTTGGATATGATTAGTTACGTGTTACAAAAATTCTGATTTGTAACTCATATTTTCAGTTTTATGCCTTTTGATAAATAGTAGCTGTATGGTTAATGTAGTTGGATTCATGCATCTTTCCAGTTTTATGATCTTTGTTGTTTGTGTCTTAAGAAAACCTTACCTATCCCAAGGTCATGAAGATATTATATTTCTTCTAAAAGTTTTAAAGTTTTTCTATTTACATGTAAGTCTTATATATAGCTAGAATTTGTGCATGATGAGTCAGGAATTCCGTTTTTAAAATAGATAACCAGTTGTCTGAGAGCCATTTCATGGCTAGTCTCTTCTCTCCCTAGGGACCGTCAATGCCCCCTAATCGAGGTTCCACTTCTGAGTAGGATTCGTTTCTGGACTCCTCCTTCCATTTCAATGAGCAATTATCTATCCTTGCACCAATGCTACACAATTATATAGAGGCATTTTATATGCTGTACGTTTTATGTACATATATGTAAATGTCTACACATTTATACATTTTATATGTTATACATTTATATGAAGACATTTTATAAACTATATATCTTGATATTTGCTAGGGCAAGTCCCTCCACTTTATTTTTCTTCGAGAGTCTCTTGGCTATTGTTGGCCTTCCATGTTTTTATACAAATTTTAGAATCACCTTATCCAGATTGTCAAGAAACTCATTGGGATTTTCGGTGGGAATTTGTTGAATCTATAGATCAGGCTGGGGAGAACTGACATTTTTATGTCAGTCTTCCTATTAATGATATGTGATACATCTCTCTGTGTATTTAGGTTTCTTTAATGATTTTAATAAAGGTTAATTTTCCGTAAGACTTTTTATACAGCTTCCATCAGATTTATTCCTTGGGACCTTATTTTTATTATTGCTATTATAATGTTGTTTTTAAAAATTATGCTTTCTATTGATGTACAGAAATACAATTGTTTTATATATTGATTACATCTACCTTTTAAAATTCTTAATATTCTACTAATTTATAGATTTTGTTGCCTTCAATGCAGAAAATCACCACCTATGAGCAGTGACAGTTTTTGCTTCCTTCCCCACCCTCAGACTTTCTTTTTCTCATTGTACCGCAGTGGCCAAGACCTTCCCTACAGGGTTGAACAGATGGAATAGAGGAACAACTTGCTTTGGTTCAGATTTGAATGTTTCGACATTAAAAAATGATTTTTGCTCTGGGTTTTTGGTAGATACCCAAGTTAAGGTTAAGAAAGTGACTTCTATTCCTATACGCTAAGAGTTTTTAGTCATAAGTGAGTGTTAACCTTTTTCAAATGCCTTTTCTACATCTCTCATGGTGAGCCCCCGGTGATCTCGCCCTGCTCCCCTCTGCAGCCTCATCTCCCACCGCTTCACCCTCATCGACACACTCGACACAGCAGCCTGCTCCAGGTTCTTCAAACCATTCTGCCCATATCACTCACCTCTCCCACGGGGGTCGGGGCCACTCGGGCTACAGTCATAAAGCCTGAGGACCCGTGTGATGTCCGAGGTGCTGAGGTTCCATCGCTGGCCAATGTGGACACTGGGGGCCCAGAGCGGCGTGATGGTGGGCAGCCCACGCCGACTGAAGGCAAGCCTGAAACCCAGTAGGTTGGGGCCTGAGTCAGGATCACAGCAGAGGCTGGCAAGGCAGTGAGGAGGGAAGGAAGAAACAGAAAGGGGTCCTCACCTCCCATAGTGCATCACTGATGAGTAGTCATAGGGCACCAGCATGTTACTGTTCGGAGATTTGATGAAGTTGATTTCAAAGCCTGAAAAAATACTTGGCGATGGGGGATGGGGGCAGGTGGGGTAGAGGAGCAGTGGGGGCCAGGGAAGGGGATAGGGGACTTCTGAGAACTTATAAGATACTTAAGCTGAGGTGTCCAAAACTACAGCCAAATGTGCTTCCTCCTGCACTGCACTCCCCTTGTCCCCATCTCCTTCGTGTCTTCACTGCCTATTCCTGCCCTGCCCTGCCCTGGGGAGGGTCCAGAACTGTATCAGCTGATGTGGAAGCACAGGGACCTTGTGGCTGTTTGGCAGTAACTCCCTAAGACTTCTCTCCACTTCCTCCTCCTCCTCTCAAGCTCACCTGGTGTGAGACTATCTTTGATTGACCTACAGCTTCCACAGTCACACGCTGCTCAGAGTGCCTTGGACGCCCCCTGCCTGCGAGATAAGGTGCCTACTCCTGAACCCAGCTTCAGTGACGTGCTCGCCCATCTCCTGCTGTTGTGAATGCCCGGTCTCCAGCAGCAAGCCCACCTTCTTCCTGCCTCCAGCCAGCAGCACCCACCCCCCAGGTTTGGAATCCAGCGCTTCCCCGTTGGCCAGAGCACCCACTTCTCCCTGTCACTTGGGTCCTCCAGGCCTGGGACGGGCAGGGGTCCCTTCCCCTACTTCTCTCCTGCCCTCACAGTGAGCCTCTGAAAGAAGAGCTGCGCCTCCATCTCTGCCCGCCAAATTCCAGCCAGCCCCTCCCACACCCTCCTCCTGGGCACCAGCAGCCTCCTCACCACCAACCAAATGGCATTCCAACGCCTTTATATCCATCACCTGCCTGAAACACCTGCCCCTAGAGAGTGTTCATTTCTTTTTAAAATCCCTTAAGTTATTGAACATAATTTTGAATAGGCAATATATTCATCTGATTCAAAAATCAAGAAATGTTAGAAGATATAACAAATCTCCAACCCCATCCCCCTTCGAGTTCCGACCTCCCCACCCTCAGTTAATTACTGTTATTATTTGTGTATCTTTGCAGAGCTTATTCTGTACATAGTCACTAACCACAAATGCACTCTCATTTTCCTCCGTTCTTAAGCAGTGTTTTCCATTAGGGGAGCCAATGTTTTCACTTGTTTTATGTTAAGAAACCAGCTCTTGAGTTTATTAGTGCTGTTTTCTAACTCATTAATTTCTGCTTTTACCTTAATTCCCTCCTGCTTCATTTTTTCTTAACTTGGATTGAAATACTTAATTTGTCCTGGTTATTGATATAAGTACTTAAGTCTACACGTTTTCCCTGAGCGCTGCTTTAGTTGTTAGCCCCTGGCTCTGTGTTTGTGAATTTTTTCCAGAAATCTGGGAATTTCTTTAACCCCAGAGCTAAGAGGTTTGTTGTTTGTTGGACTTTAATTTCCAAGTGGAAGCAGTTTTTGACTGATTTGTTGCTGGTTTCTATCTTCTACTTTCCATCATGATCAGAAGGTTTGTATTGACTCTGTTTTTTCAAATTTGTACTTTCTGGCTATCACCTGCTAAGTTTTCACAAGTATTCCACAAGCACTTGGAAGGATTATGGTCTCTATTTTCAGGGCACAAAGTCACTATCACCCCTCTTCCCCACATCCCTAATCTCCGATCTCCATCCCCCATCTCATTATAAGGGGCTACCCACATCCCCCAGACCACCGCTTTCTCTGGGGGCTCCATGCATTCTGGTCTCCTTGGGCCCCCTCCCCCGGCCATTCCACCTGGCTAACGTTGGCCCCAGCAGCAGGGGCGCCTGCGCCAAACGCCCTCTGCTTGCAGGAAGCTTTCCCACTCCTCCCCCTCTGCTCCCACCCCCCCAAACCAACCTGCTGATCATGCACGTCCTCTGCTCCCCTCCCTCATGAAGCAACTGACTCTACTCCTCTTACCCCACGAATCAGGATGTCAAGCCCCTCGAGGGTGGAGTCCCACCTTTACTGAGGTCAGATCCCCAGGGCCTACCCAGCACACAGCTGCTGCCATTCACTGGCCTCTGGTGCAGTGACCCACTCCCCAGACAACCTCTGCTTTCATGCTGCCGCCTTTTAGACGTGGTCTCCCTGTGCCTCCTCTGTCCCACGTGCCCATCAGTGCCCATCTCACAGGCACCGAGCCCCTCAGCACTACCCTCAGCCTCCTCTGTCTGGCACTGGGCATGCAGCCTACTATCTCCAGGGCTTCTCTCTTGGCTCAGCCCCCACAGCTGGAACACAGCCCCTGCCCCCACAGCACACAGCGGAGTCTGGAGCCTGAGGGACTCTAGTTGAGTACACAAAGAGCAAACGTCATAAGATACCACCAGCCCCACCCTCAGGTAACCCACAGTCTCAGTGAGGAGAGATGAGAGCGCGCAGTGGCGTCGCCCTCGCTCAGGGGTGACTGTGGGTGGGCAGGTGAAGGCTTGGAGCCCGGAGCAACAGCATCTGGACCACTCTCCAGGTCTCAGAAGCAGGAACACCACCTTCCCCATGGGAGACAGGTAGGTGGTGGGAGAAGATGGCCAACCTCTTCCAAGTAGCCCAGCAACTCCTCAGGCCCTGGCCCTCTCCCCGTGGGCCCCCCGGGGCCAGCCTGGCCTGTGCACGACCTGGCTTACCTGGGAGGATCTCATTCCAGTTGACACGGATATAGCGGTCCCGGTCAGCCCGTGCATGCTCGTGCCAGAAGCCCAGCACGTGCATGAGCTCATGCAGGACAATGCCCCGGCCCCTCTGGAGACAGGTGGGTGCCAAGGATACCACCTGCATCCCTCCACTGCGTCCCACACCCGAGAAGCACCTGCAGGGCCATGAGAAAGAGCTTGGTGGGCACCAGCCCAGAGAAAGCCAGAATAGACCCAGGCCCCTGCCCCCTCCTCTCAAGTCCCAGGATGAATGAGCACCAACAGGTAGTCCCCATCCTGGACTCTAGTCCCGGGCTTGCTGTTCCCAAGTCCCTTCACTGCCTGACCTTCTGTGAAATGGGTGTACTGGGACCCCATCACCAGCCTGGGCGGCAGGGAGAAGGCAGAACTGATATTGACATGGGTAACAGGAGCAGCTCCTTAAGTGAACATATGGCTGGGGGGTGGGGGGGCCCTGAGTCAAAGCTTTCCCACACATTATCTTAGGCCCCTGACAAGCTAGGAATTAGGTATTGCCAATCATCCCCATCTCAGAAGGGGGAAGAGGCTCAGAAGTTAAAAGACTTGCCCGCAGTCAGGTGGCTCCTGCATTGTGGAACCGAGATCCGAGGCCAGGTCTGTCCCACAAAACCTGCACTCACTCACCAGACCATGAAGTCTCCTCGAGACGAGGGCTTCGTTAAGGAGGGCAAGCACTAATTCCCCTCCTCTCCCCGACCTCTGCCCTGAGTATCTGTAGGTCCAGCTCACGTTGGGCAAACCCCTCAGAGTGGGCACGGGGACTTTGCACCCAGGAAGACAGACCCAGAAGTAAGTTTGAGACAATGGCTTAGTTAATTCCCGGCTGAACTCAGAAGCAAGCTGAGGAACTCCCCCTGCACACACACGCGCACACACACCCCCAGGAGGACTTACCCAGACATGGGGATGATGGAAATGAAGTCTCTCTGGCCCTGGTAGGCGACAAACCTGATGCACGTGAAGCGTTCAAACTCGGCGAAGGCCTCCAGGATGACCTCGCGGCTGGGCTGGTCTGGGGAGGACGCCCTGGCTGAACCCCCAGCCAGGCCCCCAGAGACTCGTGCCCCCTGAAGCCTGCAGTGGGATGGGCCACTGAGCCTCACATCACTCTCCCAAGATGGAACGTCAAGAAAGGGCAGGTGACAGTGCTGGGGGAAGAAAGCGGGGCTCCAGACAGACCCAGGTGTGTGACCTTGGGTAGGTCACTGTCCACTGGACCATTCGGTCTCAAGACAGATCCGATAGTACCTAGATGTACCTTCCACATGAGCTCTTCGAGGATTTAACCATCTCAACTCAGGAGCCCTCAGGAAAAGAAGGGCTTCTGGTGGAAGGGCCCTTTATGGGGTGATGGTGGAGGCAGGTGGTGATGTGGAAGAAGACGGAAAAAAACCCAGAGAGGAGCCCAGGCTGCATTTGGACTAAGGGCCTGGGGCAGGGAGGGAAGCCTGCGGCTCCCAGGACTAGGGGTGCACACTCACCGTACTTGCTGGAGAGCAGGAAGGGGACCTCCACAACCCCATCATTCTTGGGCCACTTGTTGCTGGAAGCCGACAACAGCCGGAAGGGACTCTGAGGAGAGAGGGCAGCTCAGGGACCCAGGCCACCCAAGCTTCCTGCCCACAAGGATGCCACACCTCAGGCCCCAAGAGGTCTAAGGATGTGAGAGGCAGGCCCCAGGTACGTGAGGGTGGGAGGCCATTAGAAATGGGATAGCAGCATGGGAAGTCAGCAGGCCAGCTATGTGCATGATGGTGCACAACAGGACGCTTTGCTCTGTGTAACACAGAACTCGAAACTTATTTTTAGACATGGGCCCCAGGGGGCCCAGCTCAGAAGGGCTCAGGGCTCCCCAGGCAACCCCTGAAAGCACTTCGGCAGTGCCCCTCGCCAAGCTTCCTGAATGTGCAGGTGGAAAGACTGGGACAAGGTCCTCCTCAGGCTGATGCTAAGGCGACACCCCTGGCCTCTGCAGCTCCATGCTCCATTCTTCTGCCAACCATACCCTTTGAAGCTTGGGCTTCACAGCACCCCAGCAGGTCCTGCCTCACCAGCTACCAGAGGTTTTCCTGGACTCTGTTCTTACCCCCTGCCCTCACTGGGTCACCGGGAACAGGGGCCTCGCCCTGCTCCTGGGGGTCCTGCCCAGGCCCTCTCCAGCCAGCCTCATGCTGCGCCATCAGCGGAGGCTTCCAATCCACAGAACAGTCTGTCACTGGATCACTGTCCTATTCAGGAGCCTCCTGCCATCCCCAGTCTCCTGAAAGACGGCATGGTTCTCCTGAACACAGGATGTGCCCTCCTCCACTGGCAAGTGCTCCCAATTCCCATCAGGCCTGCTGCCTTTCTGACTCAGCCCCTCACCCCCTGCCAGGATGGGGTCCCCTTACTCCCTGTCCTGTCTTCCCCAGATCACCACTACCACCCCCAGTGTTCACACCACACCTGCCCACAGCCCCACCAGCCACTCTGCCAACCTGTGCTCCTCTCTCCCCTCATCCCACTACTTCCTAAGCACCTCTCCTGGGCAGGGTACCCAGCTGCGTCTTGAGAGTTCAAACCCTCTCCTTCAGGAAGCCCTCCCGGGCTGACTGCTGCCACCACTCCAGATCGACCCTTAGCGTTCAGGCTGGCTTATTCCTAACAGAACATTTGCTCTCACTTTGGCAAGAAGAGGTGTCTATCAAGCTATGAGCAATGAAGATGGATCCCTCACATTTCACAGCCCCAATATGCCTGGGGGTGGGCTCAAAGGCCTCTAACGCTATCTGTGAGGTTATTTACACCCACGTGTGTGCATGCTCACACTCACCGGCCGGAGGATGTCCCCCTCGAGGAGGAAGCTGCTCTCTGGAGTTTCCTCTGGGATGAGCCCTGGGAAGGAAGGGAGGGGTGTGCATGGGCCCGTGCCCCCTGAGCAGGTCCAGCAGAGACCTTGCCTCTCAGGCCAAGAAACCCCAGGGTCTGGCCCTCCTCCGACTCTGGAGCTAGAGCTTCCCTAGGCTCTGAGGCTATGTGGCCTCAGGTAAGTCACACAGCCTCTCTGAGTCCCGGTCTACAAACCTGCGTGGTGCTTCTCAGCCTGATCACATCCTTCTCCTGCTCAAACACAGTCCATAGCTCCCACGACCCACACAGCCCAGGCCCAATTCCTCCCTCCTGCGCCGAGGCCCTCTGCTGTCAGGAAGCAGCCTTTTCTTCCAGCTGTCTCCATCCTCCACCCCAGCCCAAGCCCCACTCCTCAGAACATGCCCTGGGCTCTCCTGTCCCACCTCATCCCCTATCTAATTCCTACCCACCTGTGTGATACTGGGGGCCCTCATGGTGGCAGGTGACAGAAATTCCAGCTCGTACCACCATAGGAGGTGAGTAGTGGCTCCCTCGAGCGAGCCTGGCTCTCCCTCTTTCTCCCCTTCCCTCCCCGTCTCAGCTTGTCTCCGCTTCTCTCTCCCACCTCGTTTTCTGCCACAGCTGGCAGCCCTTCCCCACAGCCTCTTTACTAAGATATCAGCCCCACGAGGAATCTTAGAAGAGCTCCGGGCACCCTGGAGGAGCCTTGGGTTGGGTTCCCCAGAAGCATCTGCAAGTGCTTTATTGTGGGAGCGAGGACAGCTGGAGAGCGCTGGGGAAGAAGTGGGCTCAGCTGGAGGGTAGCCTCAACCTCATCCCAGGGAGCTCTGGACCCCAAATGCACCACAGACTTGTCCCCCCTTGAGGCGGGGGCCAGCCCCATGCCCTGTATGAGTCACTGGGGGCCGGCCCGGGCAGGGGAGGGTGTGGCCCCCCAGGCGACAGGCTGATGGCCTTCAGCTGTGATGCCTGAGCAGCCAACATTCGCGGCCGCTGGGGAGGGTGTGCTTCCTGGTGAAGGGCATCAACGCCTGCTATCCAGAGGCTCGCAGATGGCCGTCGGGCCACCAGCAGCCAGGGCTGAGAGTGTCCTCCCTGGCAGCTGAAAATCAATGCCAGGGAAGCCTCAGATTGGTTCTGGCTATCTCCAGACCAGTCACAGTGACCAAAAGGTGGCATCTTGGCCTGCTCGTGCTCAGCAGCACTGGGGCTCCAAGCGAGCTGACAGAGAAAGAGAGGGGCCAGCCACACAGTAGCCACCGCATCCCCACGTCTGGCAGCTGCCCATCCCTCAGCTTCAGCTCCAGCATCCGCACTCTGGTCGGTTTCTACCAGCTCTGTCCCAGGAAATCTATCTGTTCTTCTTCAGCTGAGACCTCAGACAGGGGGCATTGAGCCTCGTGCTTCTCTGTCCTCGTACCCTCACACCTGCCCACCATCCTGCACCAGGCAGTGATACGTTTCCAAACATCCACTAATAACTTGGCTCAACACCAGATTTGGAGAGCCCCGAGGACCCATGCTTACATCAGGCCGTCTTTAAAAACCTACGCTTTTCTCCCTTCTTGTAGAAGTAACAACCCAGCAGAGAAGACACAGGAAAATAGACTCCTAAGAGGTTGCTCATGGAGAGCCGGCTGAGCGAGCCAGCACGGTCCCTCCCAGCTGCTTCTGCTCGCCTGAGTGCTTGGCATGGTTTTCAGCACACTATGGACAATTTTAAATCCCCTCCACCCCACAAGAAGACACAGTGCCCTCACCTTGGTTAATCGCAGGGATGTCCTTGTCCCAAGACGTCTGGGTTGCCTCAGGGGCCAGACCTTCTGAGAAGCTGGGCTCACAGGCTCCTGGGCAGCTGGAGGCTGAGGGCGCTCCTAGGATCAAACCTGGCCCAGACAGACAGGTGCATACACACTGGTGCCCGAGATGCCCCCAATGGTGAGACAGGACGACAGGACATGGGTCGGGGTGGGGTGTCAGACCTCAAGACCCAGGCCCTTCACAAAGGGAGGCCTCCAGCAAGGAGTCCTGGGAGCCTCTCCTCTCAGCCCCAGCTGGTGCTGAGGCCCAGACAACTGAGGAAGGAGCTCCCTTAGTGGGACCAACACCAGGCAGCCACATGCTCTGAGTGTCTGGGTGTGTGTGAGGTAGGGGAGGGAGCAGGAAGGAGGCAGGGATGGACCTCAGGCTCCAACGCTGAAGGCAGGGTGCGGGCTAGTCTCAGACCCTGCCCCATGGCTCCCTTCTCAGCCTGGGCAAGCCTGGCACAGCCAGCAGAACAGGGAAGTCTGGAGTGCCACTCCTGCCAGGCAGACCCTCTGCAACCAGGGTCTTCAGGTCCCCTTGGGGCCACCGGGAATTGACTTCTAGGAACATTCCTTGGAGAGCCCGTTCTCTGAGCCTTTTAGATTCCCACGGGCACCAGCCACACCTTTCTGGCCTCTCCCCAGCACTCTGCAGGCTGGAGCCAAAAGGAGGAGAGTGAGGCAGCCTGCTTACCTGGAACAGATAGCAGACCCAGCACCCAAGGCCAGAGGCCCCCCATGCTCATGCTGCCTGTGGCAGGCCCTCACTGGCCCCTCAACAAGCAGGAGCTCAAACCCCCAGCAGGACAAGGCAGCCTCATGGCAGGCTTAGCACCACCCCCTCCCCTTAAATGGCAGCTTCTCCAGCCCCCACCTGCAGGCCTGCCCCAACCAACTCCACCTGTGCCCCGCCCAGCAGCCCCCACCTGCAGCCCTGCCCACTCCCTCACGTGCTCCCCACCCCCTGCCCAGGCCAGAGCCTTCTGGACCCTGTCAGACCCCTCCTGGGCTGGCTGAAGTGGACAAGAAGGTGGGGAGAAGCCAGGCATAAGGCAACCTCGGATGGTTGTCCCACTGGGGGTGCGCCTCTTCTGAGGTCCCCTCCCACCACCAGGGGGCAGAGAAACATTGCAGAAAGGCGCTGAGGCGGGAGCGCTGGGAGGGACCTCGACCTCCAAATCGGGGAGCCCCCTTTCCTGCCCCTGCCCTGAGCTGAGACGTGGGAAAAGCCGCCTGAGACCCTGAGGTGAAAGGAGGAAAAGGTGACTACATTTTTATAAGCTTTCATTTTGATATGGACGATCAAAAGTGCAGGGTCAGTAGAAGTTCACAAGCTGAACCCCCGGGGTCACCGGCGCCCCAGAGAAGCCTGCCATGCGGAAAGGGAGAGAACTTCTGGATACCTACACCCTCACATGGACACTACCCCTGTCATCCCCACAACAGCTTTGCAAAATCGGTGTTTATACCCGTTTCACAGATTCAGAAACTGAAGCTCCTTACCCGTATTCCTCCTCCTCTGCACCCATCACCCTCTCAGGAGGCCTATCCTCAGAGCTTGGTCACCAAGGGGCCCACCTGGATTTAAATCCTGGAGGTAGAGGATTTGGGGCCACCCCCCTACGACTGCCCCGTGAAAGCAAGCAACAGAGGCAAGGTCGCCAGCTATTGTCCACAAGTGCCCTTCAGCATCCTGCCAGGCCTGGAATCCAGCATTTCTCAAAAGACAGGAGTCAGAATCAGAGGAGGACCGTGATGAAGACAGATGCCCTGCTGCCCAGGTAGAGTGTTAACAAAGGGGAGGACGCAGCAAGCAACCGCCTCAGAGGAGTGCACAGTAACATAAGCATGGTAATAAATAATCACCCTGCTTGGGAAGAAAAACAGATTCTCAGTTAAGAAATGCAGTTTGTCTCAAGGACATTATGCTAAGTGAAATAAGACAGTCACAAGAGGACAAATACTGCATGACTCCACTTACACAAGGTCCCTGGCATAGTCAGATTCGGAGATGCAAATAGGCCGGTGGTTGCCGGGGGCTGGGCGCGGGCAGAACTGGGGAGCCACCGTTTAATGGGTACAGAGTGTCAAGCTCTGGACATCCATTGCACAACTATGTGAATGCGTTTAACTTTAACGAACAGTACACTTACAAATAGTAAAGATGGTAAATTTTATATGTTTTTACCACAATTAAAAATTTTAAAATAAATAGAAGGAAAGAGAGAAAGAAGAAATAGAAAAGAAGAGAGAAAGAAGAAAGAAATGCAGTTTGGAAGATAAACAAGAATGCGAGGAGGGGAGGGTGCAGTGGGGGTTGGGTGGGGTGGGAGAGAGTGAGGTAGAGATAGGGTGAGATGGGATGGGGGTAGGGGTAGGTAGAGATAGGGGGACGGGTGGCAGGGGCCTCAGCCACCAGCCCTGCTGTGTGTGAGACGGGGCTGGGACTGGCCCCAGAGGCCCCCCACCCACCCTGAGCTGGGCGTGGGGGTTGTGGGCAGGTCCAAACCGAAGCCCACTCAGGCCCTGAGGAAGCCCTGAGAACAGCCCCAGCTGTGCTCCGTTCTCACCAGGGAGTGCCCCCCACCAGAGAGCAGAGGCCACACGGCTCCGGGGGCAAGCTGTCTGGCCTTCACTGAGCCTCATGGAGTGAGTGCCCGCCAGTGCCAGACTCCAGGCACGGGGCTGAGCAGACCACAGGCCCTGCCCTCAGGAGTAGCCAGTCTGGTCGAGACACACAGCTGTCTCTCACGGGCCGTTGGGAGCTAACACTTCCTAAGCACCTGCTACATGGGGTGCTGGGCGAAGCCCTGTACACGGCCTGACTTGTGTAATTCTCGAGACCACCCAAGATGGGGGGGCTAATGATAAAACCCCATCTTACAGACAAGGAAACTAAAATACAGCGAGGTTGAACAAAACTGGTACCCTAACCATGAAACAACACTGCCCGCTCAGGTGTACCCTGCTGGCGCTCAGAATGCACTAGGTAAGAGACGGCATTCTGTAGGGGTGACCTGAGTTTGGAAGGACAAAACAGAGTTCGCTAGGTGACACTTCGAGTGGCCGGGAACATCAAAGGGGAGGCTGAAGCAAGATCGGCTCTCACAGAGCCGCCCTCAAGGGCCTCAGCATCCCGGCTCTCAGGCAAATGACAGCACCCGCTTCAGCCAGCCTCGGCAGGCACCCGTCTGCTTCTGGCTTGGGCTGGCCCATGTCTCATGCCTCCTGCTACATAGTTGGGTGGGTGTGAAAAGTCATGAAGCCCATCCCTAGTGACATGTCCTCTGCACCAGACACCAGGCCTCATGCCTTCTGGGGACAAGAAGGAACTGTTCCAGACATTCTGAGGCCTGGGGGCCCAGCCCGGGATGTAGGAGAAGAGGTGAGAGGCTGTGCTGCCCTACTGTGGGGAAGTGGAGGCCTGGCCTAACACTCGTACACACAGCCCCAGGGAGAGCCACACGCACGGACACATGCAGGTACATAGGAACACCCACACTCATGACATGTAGGTGTGTGCAGGCCAACAACAGACACACCCATAGGAACGGCCACATATATGGGCAGACGCGTGCACACACAGACACCCATCCACATGCTCCAGAAAGGAAGTGAGGATGACCAGGGCAGCGCTGGGCCCAGTTCTGAGTCATGGACACAGCCTTTCCCCCCACAGGACCAAAGCCGGTAACAATAAGGTTGGAGCTGGCCTCCCAGGACCGGCCTCTTTCAGCTCCGAGACGAGCGCTGCCTGGGAAAGGACCCCAGCACAGGGACACCCCGCCGGGAGGGCGCCTCCTAGCAAGGAGGTCACACCTGCCCCTTCATTCTTCCTTTCCAGACCTCAGCACACGAGGAAAGCTGAGGTCTGATTAAGAAACGGCTTTGGAGCATTTTCCCAAAAAATGGGACCAGACGCTTGGGAAGTTATTTTTTAAACAAAACAATATTTTATTGACACATCCTGAATGTTCTGTATAAATATAAAGTGCTAAGTTTCCAACCCCCGCCCACAGGGCGGGAGGAAGTGGGGGAGGGAGTGTTAAATGTCAGTTGAACACAACTTTCCAGCATTCACAGGCGTGAAATGCTCGCATCCGTACACACGCAAGCAGAGGTCCACACGCAATATACGCATCACCTCCGGGAGATGCAGCTGCCCCAGGAGCGCAGGGCGCAGGCTCCAGGCCCCGGGTGGCCCACGTCCCAGACAGGGCTCCTGTTGTCACAGCTTGTTCCTTGGAGCTCTCAGGCTGCCGAGGGCTTCAACATGGTGGTGGGGCCCGTGGGTGGCCATGGATGTAGAGTCCAGTTAGTTTCTGCCAGAGGATGGGGAGGAGGCATACCCTCCATTCTCCTCCCTGCATGAGGGCCGGCCCTCAAACCCCTAGCAGAAGAGCACCAGGTGAGAAAGTCCAGCATTCCCGCATCCCCAGCACCCCCACCTGAGGGCTTTTCAAACTCTGAGGAAGGGGCAACTCTCCCTGAGGTGAAGGGGACTGCAGGGAGGCAGCTCCCCCAGGAGTCAGCGGCCATGTGTGCCTCAGCCCTGGAGGAGCCAGCATGGCGGGGCCCCGGCCCTGCCTCAGTGACACAGCACTTGAGTCTCAAACTGTAGCAGCTGCCCCATGAAACTGAAGTTGGGAGAGATGACTCCCCGGCGTTGCTTAACAAAGTCGAAGGCCTCGTCCAGCCGCACGCGGCGGCTCTGTATCAGGTAGGCCAGGCAGATGGTGGCGGAGCGCGAGATGCCCGCCTGGCAGTGTACCAGCACCCGGCCTCCGCTGTTCTTCACAGAGTCTGCAAGGGAAATGGGGGAGGGGCGTCAGACAGGAAGGTGGGCAGAAGAGGAGACAGGTGCTCCAGGCCCCTCCCCTGGGGCTCCTCCAGGTTCCGGGGCTGAGGCCCTCCCTCTTACCAATAAAGCCTATGGCCTCCTGGAACCAGGCACTGATCTCCACCATCTGGTTGTCCTCCACCGGGATGCTCTTGTAGTGCAAAAGGCCCTCAAAGTGGTTGGGGCAGCTGGCAGAGACGTTGAGCACAGCTGTGATGCCACAAGCCTGCAGCCCCTGCAGGTCCGCCGAGTGGCTGCAGCTGCCCAGGAACAGGTAGGGCAAGATCTCCACAGGGCCGCCCTGGAAGAGGAGGGGCGGGCGGGGGTGAGGTCTTCTCAGCCCAGCCCTGGAGGGCTCTGCCACCAGTAGGGGCAGAGACATGGGGCGGGGCAATAGGAGCCCTCAGCCACTCCTGACCGGGGATCAGACTCAGGAATAGGAGCAGGACACAAGGGGACACGCAGAGACACAAGGGGACACGCAGAGATATACGCTCACAGATACACACGTCCCTCTCAAGACCCCAAATATACTGCAGACATATAGAGACACACAGAGGCGCACACAAAGGTGTGCTCCCTTTTGCATGCGGACACACACACAGGTGACTGTGGACACGGCCAGACTCCTCGAATCCACAAGTGGCAGACTCCACAGAGGCGCCTATCCTGCATAAGGGGCCAGGGGGACAGTGACAATGAGCCCTGATCTCAACTCACCTGGTCATAGAAGGGAGCCCTGGCGTCGGAGCGGCTGTTTTCGGCCGCAGCAGGCGGCAGTGCCGGGACGGGGGATTCGGAGCACAGATCGGGACAGCAGGCCTGGAAGCCATCGAAGCCTCCTGCAGGGATTGTAAGGGCACGGTGAGCCGGGAGGACCCGGCTGGGCGGGGAGGGGCG